ACAAAAAATTAAAAAAAAAAAAAAATACAGATTAGTGGTTACCAGAGAGGAAGGGGGTGGGGGAAGGGGGCAAGGGGTAATGGGGCAGATATGTATGGTGACAGATAAAAACTGGACTATTGGTGGTGAACACGATGCAGTCTATACAGAAACTGAAATATAGTGATGTACACCTGAAATTTACAAAATGTTGTAAGCCAATGTGACCCCAATAAAACAATTAAAAAAAAAAATGTTCTCACTAATGAGCACGCAGTTTGTGTTTCCTGGTGGGAATGCTTGACTCATGCAGAAACTAGGAAAAAAGCAAGCAGGTAGCTCCATTTCCCTCCCTGAAACAACCCCTGTTAGGTCACAGTGAAGTGGAGCCTGAACAGGCCTTGCCTGACCTTTATTCATGTACTCGGTGACAATGTAGATAGGTTCCTCGGACACCACGGCGTAGAGCTGGACCAACTTGTCATGCTTCAACTTCTTCATGATCTGTGCTTCCTCGAGGAATGACTCAGGGGACATTGTGCCTGGTTTAAGAGTCTTTATGGCTACTTTTGTGTTTCCATTCCAGGTACCTGCAGACACCCCACAATATTAAGTCAAACCAAAGATACTCTTTCGATGGAAAAAAAAAGTTTTGTAATCAACAGCTATTTCCATACAGTTGGATTCTAAGTTAAAAAAACTTAATACAGTTTTTATTGAACAAAGGCAATCAAATGTAAGGACTCTGTCAAGTATTTTCACAGGAAAAATGTGTTTACTTATGGCTATATTATGGTTTACCATTCTTTTAATTTTTTTCTTATTTTGATATATACCACTTTCCTTTTCTGGCTCAGCCATGTGATTGCAAATTTGTACCAAAGGCTCTGGACACTTCTTTATAAGATGAAAGTCCCAGGGTTAGAACAGGCCTGGCCATCCAGTAGCCATCCCTTAGGCAGAAAAGCGAGCACAGAAGAAATCAGACTAAGTCTCATTTCATGAGCTATGCCACTTAAAAAAAATATGGCAACACACTGAGGATGTCTGAAAATTACTTCTAGACTTTCAATTGTCTGCAATGGATGAGCTACTTGACTGAGTCCTTGAACAGTTGATCTATAAGTCAGATTATAAGTATGCTGATAAGTACTGGCAAGAAGCTCACAGTCTACTTGCCCATACTTCAACTGGGAAGGACAATTCCTCGGGTTTACTGCTGGTCAGCCACAACTAGAACAATGACTTCTATCAGCTAGACTGGAAAAATTAAAGAGCAGCTAAGAGGGAACAGAGATATTTGAACTTAACATGTTAAAAAAATCTAGTAGGTCCAGATGCAGGCCTTGTTTATGATCATCGGTTACCTCATCTGTAAAATATAGGAATGGAAGTGGATTATCTTTTGAGTCTCTTTCAGCCCCCAAGTTAAAAAAAAATCTAGGTTCTATGTGTATTCCATTAGTCTTGGACTTTGATTTAAAACTACTTATAAGGGAAACAGAAAAGTCTGCTAAGTTAGATTATGTTATTTTCTATTTGGAAAAGAAGGCTGGTTTAAATTAAGATTAATTTTTATCTTTAATATAATTGATTTTAGAATTAAAAAGTTCTGTAAATTGGAGCAACTTTTGTTATCCTGCTAAAAACATGGTTCATATAATTACAACATGCAACCTACAAAAATATAAATTATGAAAGAACAAGGGCTTAAAGAAGAATTCATTCAAATCTTATGAAATATTTGACCACTAAATGTAAATGAGAAATGTGACAATTTGTAAGTGGTCTTTGCAATTTGAGTGCTATTCTGGAGTGTTGTTAGCACCCCCAAATTTTAAACAGATGTCTTCCTTTCTAATAACAACCCAGTTACTTACATTGGCATTCCATCCTGATCTTGAACTACCACAATATGATGTTTTATGTTTAGTGGGGAACAAAATCTTAATAATATGTGTAATGATTTAAAGTTGATAAAGTTTGATAATAAATTTTCCTGTAGGGTCCAATTCTTCCTGATTGTATGAGTGATTGGATTAAAATCCTTAGGGCCCATAGCTTCAATTATAAATTGGGCAGATGAGGGAGAGCAAGGCCATATAAACATATTTTACAATACTTGAGTTCAAGTCCAGAGAGAGAGGGACACAATAATGTGGACTCTGAAAACAATAGTAATGATAACACTCATTACAATAGTATATACATACATATAAATGTATATGTCTGAGTATCTATCTCTATCTCTTTATCTGTGTAGTACTTACTCTTTGCCAGGCTCTGTTCCAAGTGCTTTAACTGTATTAAATCTTTTAATGCAGACCACATCTAAACACTGATAGCCACACATAGCAACAGGTACCTATCTATACTGTTTTTAACTGAAAAAAAAGAAAGAGGATTCCATAAGTACCAACACTGTCTTACTGACAGATGTTTTTGGGTGGGGCCCAAGGCCATGGATTGTCTCTAAGCAAAGCGGCAACGGACCCAAAGGGTGTTATGAAAGCAGTGCGAGGGCCCAGTGCAGTCAGCCTTATGAATGACCTGAGAACCAAATTAAGAGAAGTATGTGTATACTGAACACCTACTATGTGCAGGGACTCTAAACATATTGTCCCATGTAATCCTCCAAACAATCCTATGAAGTGGGTATCATTCCAATTTTACAGATGAGGAAACTGAGGCTCAAAGAGGGTAAATAAGCCCCTAGCCCATGGTTAATCAGCTAGTAAAGATTCAAACTCAGGCCCATTGAGCAAAAAAGCCCATGATCTTTCCTTATAGAGCCCATCTGTAGTATCTTACCTTCCCATGTCTTAGGAAGAGGAAACATCAGATTCTTATTGTTTTGGTTTCCTGTTTTGTGCGTGCCTTGATTAACCACACGAAGCAGGACAGAAGAGTACAGCAAGGTATCACCATATTCTGAAAATCTGGATAGCCCGTCTAGCTATCCAGGTTAAGTGTCTTGGTCCCAATGGCTGTGTATATGTTTTTGTTCAAAACTATTCTTTTAATTGGCTTGAGATGCAGCCAAAACAAAATTGTGCCCTCTGCCTTACCAAGCCACACTTCAGCGAAACACCCCTGACCCAGCTTCTTCTCCAGAAACAACGAATCACGTGCAACTTCCCAAGCATCTTTAGACAATCCAGAAGTTTGTGGGGTACAACTCGATGCAATCACAGTTAAGTTAAAACACAAACCATCAGCTTTCTCTACAGGAAAGGGAATTAATAAAGAAAACACAGTCCTTATAATCCATAATCATGCATGCACTAGGAAAGATGGAAGGTGACATGCCCTTGAGGGCGACACTGAGTTCGCTGGACAAACGTTTGCAGTTTGAAATGAAGGGCAAGGCATTTGGTGCAGGCTGGAACATTCCCTGTACCATTTACTGGTTTATGAATCGAGACTCATATAATAATATAATTTGAGCCATTTGCCAATCTTGACCACTTACTATCTCTTTTCTAGAAATTCCGGGATTCCAAAATCAAAATTATCATTCCCTACTATTAGTAATTCAAACTTTCTTCCTGGTCATGAAGTCTTTATTTTCACCTTCCATCTTTGATGTTTGGGATTTCCCAAACAAGAGAGCTAGTAATAGAGTAATTGAGTCTCAGCATACCCATCCATACTTCCCCAAACTGCCCATTTCCCAGTCTCTTGATCAACTGCAGGGATTCTCGAGGGATTTCCCAGACATCTTTGGTTTTGACAGACAGATCGGTAAGCCTTGGCATCCCTTTGTGACAGGGAACTACTAGGCGGCAGCAGAGACCTGCGGCTCTCTCTGATGGAGCGGGACAGCGGCAGGAGAGGGAGAGAAAAGCAGAACACGTGAAACAACAACATTTACAGGTGCACAAACCCAGCCAGCGCATAGCGTGCCTCGAAACAGTGCTACGTTGGCAGAGAACTACACACATCTTGGAAGATCAGACGCCACACATTGAAACACATTCATTGGAGGTAGAACAGAGGACAATTTGGACTACTCCATATCCCCAGGTATAATATAGTCTATACATACACACAGATATAGATTGTTTGGTTTCTATACTCACTAAGAAAAACATTTTCAGCCCAATGTGCTAATAACATGTCTTCTGGAACCCTGAAAATACCTCCACTGATTTCAAAAGATACATTTGGACTACAGAATGTCAGCATGACTGTCCTTTCCCCTCTAATATCAAAGGTTTAAGGACTCTCTGGCATGAATATATTTAAAATTGCAACTTCAGTACAGGACTCTTCTACAGACCATTACACTGCTATAAACTAGTAAGGCTGAAGATTACAGCTGGCAGGGGAAAAGAGAGGTCACAGGTCTCGAGCGATTTCTTTGGCATTTTAACTGACTCTATTCTACCAGTCAGAAACTCCTGCTTCTTTGATATTCATTAAAAAAAAATCTTTATAACAGTCTCCGATGTATAATTTAGGAGTCTGGTTTGAAAGCAGAAAGAATGAAACTAAAATCTGCAGAAACTCAAGGATGTGAAAGAACTCTATTTCCTATGAAAAAGAGAAAGGAAAAAAGTAGTTATCCCTCATACGTTATGTGGAGGGTTTTTTTTTCTTTTTCTTTTCTCTCTTTTTTTTTAAGAAGAATATGCCTTTTAGAATCTAGTGATGGTAAGGGGAAATTGCCTAAATGCCAAGTTAAACATCAGTCAGGTGAGAAAAGGTAACAAAGAACAAAGAATCAGGGCAGTGACAGAAGCTGCAGAAAGCCTGGCCTGTGAGGTGACAGAGCCCCTGCCACACCCCACACCCCCCTGGAGGCGCCTCGGATCCGGGGAAACCAAATGTAGTGCTGTTGCCTTTTCTCCAGGAACCAGCTGTAAGTTACTTTTTATTCCTTTCTTTTTGATAGAATCAGGTTCTGAGATGTTTAGACAAGAAATTATTTATGTGTCAATATTTCAAAGGCATTTTATTGTGTGAGAGAAAGAGGGAAGAAGAAAAGCCAATATAAAAACAAATCTAAGGTGAGATGGTTTTTTTTTTTTGATATTAAAAAATGTCTATTGCTCTTCATATCCCTTCTGTCCTTCCAGCTTTAAGATGTTATTAAGGTGCCCTTTCCAACACAATATTTTCAAATGATCCTAACCCTGGGGATCCTGCTGATGTTTGGCTGTAATGAAATATACTTCGGCATTTGAAAAATCCTTACGACATGCAGGCATTTTGAGTCTATTACTTAAGCTCAGGGAGATATTCGGCTCCATTTCTCTCAAATATTTCATTAGAATCCACATAAACGAAAGTTACCCAACACCCTAATCAACTAGTACTCCGAATGTGGTTAATTTTTTCACTTGCTTATTAGTGCAAGGATCAGTAGATGGGCATTTCTTACTGCTATTTTCAAAAGATTGCTTTTTCTTGGTGCTAATAAATTATACACACATATTATTATTATTATTTTTTTTGGTGAGGGATATTGGCCATGAGCTAACATCCATTGCCAATCTTCCTCTTTTTGCTGAGGAAGATTAGCCCTGAGCTAACATCTGTGCCCATCTTCCTCTATTTTGTATGTGGGACACCACCACAGCATGGCTTGATGAGCGGCGCATAGGTCTGCGCCTGGGATCCAAACCTGTGAACCCCGGGCTGTTGAAGCGGAGTACATGAACTTAACCATTATGCCACAGGGCCAGCCCCTACACACGTATTTCACCACCACCACCACGCCCTGCCAAAGCCCCAGTAGTTGTGTGTCGTAGCTGCTCATCCTTCTAGTTGCTGTATGTGGGACGCGGCCTCAGCATGGCCGGAGAAGCGGGGCGTCGGTGCGCACCTGGGATCCGAACCCGGGCCGCCAGCAGCGGAGCGCGTGCACTTAACCGCTAAGCCATGGGGCTGGCCCGTACACACGTATTTTTTAATGAACGTGCAGTTGAGGTCAAGTCATGTACTATTTTTGGGGTTTTGTCATTGTCCTGAAGAACAATATAAAATGTATATATAGGTCACACAAAAAACCACTGGGTTTAATGGGATATAGGTCTCTATCTGTATGTGTATATCTAAATCCACCTGTGTGTAAGTATTATATAGTGGGATATACTTGCTAACCTAGGAAAGAAAGCAATCATTTCAACACTTGCACATAAGACCACATTCTTTAATAAAATGTACAAATTGCACACCTAAATACCTAATAAGTATATATTTCTAGGAACAACAAACTAATGGTGACAGTTGGGTGTTAGGACAGAGACTGATCTAGTGTTTAAAAGTTTAATTTATCACAATAGCTGCAGCAGATCTAGGAGCTGTGGGCCACATAAGTCTACGTCTAGTTAGAGATCAAGTCTTGGCGGGAAGTAGAACATGATAAATGGACCCAAATTTCACCCAGTCCTGAGAATGAGATGCACGTGCAGCTACTCTTGCGACAGTGCGGGGGGTAAAGCGACGGTAGGGACACAACATCCCCTGTAGCAGTCGCCACATAAGTTCCCTCCCAGAGGCTGCTCTTTGTCCCTTTCCTGGTTTCTGAATTCTATACTGCAGGGGAATGGGAAAAGATAACATCTTTTAAAATTTAACCTATTGCCTTCTACTTGGGGAACTAGAATGTTACACCGTCTTTTGACAAACATATGGAACTAATAATAACTATGGTAGAAAAACATCAATAGAACCTATGCAGCCAAGCCCCACCTTGAGGGGTTAGCAAAGAAAACTATTGTACCAGTGACTTCTTATACATCTGTGGTACCTCTTCCCCTCGCCTTTCCCCTGCCCGCTCTATGCCCACCCGCTCCCTCCAGTGTCCCCATGGTTAGCAGCTAGTTAGAATTAAGGTTACCTGAGTAATGCTGTACAAGCTGCTGAAGGGTTTCAAACTGGGCCCGGGTGGTGATATAGTATCCACCATTGTCAAGTTTGCGAATTTTATAATGTTTGACGTGGTCTCCTTTCATATCATCCCAGTCACGGATAGACAGTGAATAGGCACCTGGTAAATATGCAGAGCATTAGCAGCCCCAATCATTGTGAGTACTCAGGCATTTGTCAGGTCTCATTTACTCGACTATTCTGATTAAGAGTTATAAACACACACACACACAAACACACACTTCCACCCAGTGTGTGGAACATAGAAAGAAAACATCTCTTTCCTGCAAATGTCAGAAGATACTAGCAATAAAATGATTTTACCCTTGAAAATGCAAGCTTCCTGGATTTTTTCCTGCAATACTCTACTCAGTACACTTGTGTGGCCTACTATGGCATAGACCACCGCCTGCTGCCCTGGGGGGAAAGATGAAGAAGAGCACAGACATTCCCAGCTGAGATTGCTACCCTGGTCTCCATTACCCAGGGAGCATCACAGAGGCAGAGGCAGAGAGTACTAAAGAAACGTAAGGACTGTTTCTCCAGAAGTGAGCTTCCAATTTCTGCTTCACAACTCCCTTCACAGGGGCAGATCACTAGGTCTGTAGATCAAGCCGGAAGGCTGCTGCTCTTTTTCCTGGGCCCAGCTCCTCTTTTGGGCTCTAATGAGTTGTTAAATAATGAAAAGGCCAGCAGTTGGAGGAAGCAGTCCTCAGTTATGAAAAAACAAAAGGAATGCAAAAACAACCTGTATGATTGGCGCCTGAGGAACTAAGAGTTTCAGAAAAGCACAATTCTAAAGGACTTCAGAAAATTCTACGATCTTATGTGCCTGGAGGAGTGAAGCGGCCCCAGCCCCTGTTTTGGGAGGAAGGTCTTGATTTCGAGCCTCTGTAGTCCTTTTGGAGCTGTCTGCAGTCCTAGAGCCTGGAGGGAAAACTGAAAATAGGGCTCAGCTCACAAGGCAGGCAGGATATGTGCCATTTAAAAATCCTTGTACATTAGAGATAAGCCTTTCATCCTCTCTGACTAATCCACAGATTTGAATGACAAGCCAACTTCTTCAACGTGTTATTTTACCTTTGGTGGTTTCACTCTCGCGGATGAGAAAGGTACCTCTTGGATTTCCAAAGGACAAAAGCTGTCGCTCAGCATCTTTTCGGCCAAGTTTTCCAAAGTACCACCTTTAAATGAGATCAAAGGAGGGAAACATTTTATAAAGGAGGGAAACATTTTATTACAATCATTTACAAAAATAGGATAGCGTAGGCTCTTCTGCCCACGAACCCTCCTCACCTCTGATTTCATGCTTAGCCATTCTCTAGATATTTTTTCCTAGCCTCATCTGGCTCCCTGCCAATCTATTCCTGATTCCATCCCTAATCCATCTCTTTCACTCTTTAAAGAAAATCAGATTTGCATTGTGGGATATTTTCCTTCCCTCCGGAGATCAGGAACCGGTTTGCGGTTCTGCCCGCGTGAAGAGAGAAACCCAGGACCTTGTTTTGAAATGGCAACCGCAGGAGACCCTTCCCACGTGCGTCTACAAGACCCTGGATTTCTGAGCATAATTACAACCCCTGGGAAATACCAAAACACAGTCTCAGTGTACATAAAGATCATTAATCGAGCACTTAAAAAGTCAGTGAGAATGGATAAAAAACAAAGACATGATATTTTCAGTAACTTCCTACCTACTGGAACTCTGAAAAAAATTGTCCAGACTATCCCTAATTTGGGATGACTCTGCCCTTGGAGGCTTGTTTTTATTTTCTTCCTGTCCAGCAGGTGTGAGGCCTGGATGAGTAAAGGGCATCTGCCAGGCGTCTGGGCTGTGATCTGCACGCGTGTGCTCTGGCACAGCTGCAGGGCCAGGTTCCTGTGCAGTCAACGAGCATGGCCTTAAGACAACTCGGTGTCGCAGACATTTCATACTTTCCCTGTAATGACACTCATGTGCCACTTGAGGAGCTGTCACGTCAAGTCACCTCACGACCTTTGTTATTTGTCTTTTACCTCTCCAGCCCTGACCATGGCCTGGAAATTAGTTAACATCTCAGCGCTAGGTGCTGAGCAAGCAGCAGGTGCTCCAAGGACCCAAGGGAGAATTTGGGAGCGTTCCATTGGAATCTGCACAGAAAACTGATTTTTAGAATATTTAACTGTAGAAGGATCCAGTTTCTAAAATGAAATTTCAATTCATTATACTTGAACATAGCTATTATGTGTTCACTGTCACATTCTTTTGTGAATGAAAGAGCTTCACTGAACGTGAGAAAAGAGACACTACATGTCAGCTCCTCAGAGACTTTTAAAGGCACTAGATTGTGCATAACCTTACCCTAGCACTAGGTGGTATAAAGAGAATTACACCAATTACTTGTGTATCAATAACCCAATTAAAATGCAGTGTAAACACGAACAGTGGTGAAAAGAGAGCTGTCAGAACAATGGATGGTACCAAAACAACTGTATTTCAAGATAACGGTAATTACATCTATAAAATCATAGGCATTTTTTTAAATGCTATTTTATTCTTTAAAAAAAAAGGTTTTTTAAAAATTGACCATTGATATAACTTAAATATGAAGCAGGTCAATTCCCAGTTAAATCAAAGTAATGCTATATTTTGGTGGTACCTTTTCTTCTGAAAGAACACAAAGATGTTTGCAAATCTGCTCTAAAATAAAAATTCAATACAGGTTCTTTCATTCACTGATGGTGAAACGCACTCACTAGGAGAAAAAAGGAGCTCAGAACCACTGAGTATTTGAGAGCAGGGAACAAAACACATCTTCTTAGAGGAAATATAAGGGAGTTAAAGACAAGAGAGCAATCCAGCTGGGGACTGGCTGGCGTGTGGAGTCTAATCCTCCGTGCAGAGCTTAAACAAACCCAGGGCAAAATTAAATATCAGAGCCGAAGGCTGGGCTCTGTGGCTGACTGTTCTCAACTCCCTTTCTGGTAAGGCAAGACTGCCTCCACTGAGCAGGAGAGGCAGGTCCCCAGGGGTCAGCGGGGAGGCCAGGTTCCTGCATTTGGGAGACCATGGCCTAGCTCCCTTTCCCTCAGTTCTGAAATTAGGGTCGCCACACAAGCCACTCTGACAATTCTCCACTTTGAAAGTGCCCATGAATCCCCACAGGTCAGGAGACGGAACAATGGCTGTCCCTTCTGGAATCCCCTCCGCCTACTGACCACCTTCCAAAACTGTTACCAGTGAACTCCTTGGGCCAACTAACTACTAGTCACTATTTACTATCACAGAAGTCAACCGAGACCCCAAATCAAAGGAAAGGACCATCTGAAATGCATCACCACATTATTTCCCAAGTTGTGGGGCACACTGCACGTGAGATACTTCTCCCTGGGGCGTGGAAGGTATGTCTTTTCAGTGCTCCTTTAATATTTCTGACTACATGGAGGAGAAAAATCTCATTTGATCTTTAACAATCGTTTGCTCTTCTCTTTCTTCCTCCCTCCCTCCCTTCCTCCCCTTCCCATTCTTTCTCCTTCTCCCTCTCTCTTCCTCAGCAGACTGCAGACTTAGAACCTTGGGTCGGCAATAATACCTGCTCTAGCTACAATTTCATCACATTTTTATGGTTACTTTCTATCTGTGGCAAGTAACACTGGGTTTTCATTTAGGGTACTGATATAAAGTTTCCTATATGTTTCCAAAAAGTGAGCAGGCTTAAAGAAAAATATTAAGTTAATAATAGTACAAGTATCACATAGATATGACAAAGTCCAGGGCATAAAGCCTGAGAAACACTGCATTACCATATTCTCTCAACCCTTAATCGTTCTAGGGAACTTCTCTCTCCTGCACAATGTTAATGGCATTTTATTGCAGCAACTAACTTTTAAAAGCAAGTAGTTAAGTGAAAACAACAAAACAAAACATACTCTTCTGCCTGGATAGAGTCCACTGGAGCCACATAATTGCTGGGAATGTAACCCGTCTCTCCGGTTGTCAAGGAGCGGGCTTCCCACCAGTCTCCTTCCCTGCAGAGAGAAAAGAGAAGGGAACGCGTTGACCATTTCAATGTTCTGCAGTTACACACCCAATGCTGTAAGAGCATGTGACTACTTCCCAGTCATTCTATCACCTGATTTCTCCAAACTCCGACACAGCCTTCTGTGAGGGCCAAATGGTTACAATCTGAGCCAACTGTGAATTGAATCCAATGTTATCTCTCATCTCTTGCCTTATTTGTGAATTATGAAGGTAGACTCTGGCCATGGAGAGCTCTCTTGGGGGGGTCATTTTGCTTGCTAAGTGTCCTCAACTTGGACGGAGGGGAAGGGACCCAGCTCTGGGCTACTTAAGAAAAATATTGTAACAACAATAACAAAATGGTAATTATGTGAGGTGAAGAATATGTTAACCTTATTGTGGTAAACGTGTATCAATGGTATATGCGTGTATCAACCCATCACACTGTATACCTTAAACTTACACAATGTTATATGTCAATTATATCTCATTAAAGCTGGAAAAAAAATAAAGCAAGCACCAATAGTGCTAATTTAGCTAACAGTCTCTGTTTTGCCCCCTATCCTGAGGCAACCAGCCTCCTTTGGTACTACTGGAGAGAGGCAAGCTGTGGCTTTAGTGTTATTTTGTCAGCCATTACAGCTGCAGATCCTCTGAGAAAAGAAGCCTGTTGGGAGCCCAGTAAGGGATGAAGGCATACCCTGAAGACCTGTCTTGCTTGCTCTCAAGAAAATGGGTAGAATAATATCCAACTACAACAGGTTAAGCCTTGCTCAGACATTTTCAACCTGGGGTTATTTCATCAACTATTTGTAGCACTGACCTGAGTCTGGGGGCAGGAGAGGAAGAGCAGGTGTAGCTGTGTGTGTGTACAAGGGCAGGGGGAGAACAAAAACTCGCCAAGGGAACGAGATTCTTAGTCCCACCACTTTGCACAGCCCCGTGTTCATGGGACAGCCTGGTCTGTCTGCGGAGCTCTGAGCTGCGGGCAGAGGGATGGGAAAGGGGGGCTTACGACAGCCCTCTCAGCTTAAGCCAAATGAGCAATGAAATGGTCAGAGCGCATGTGCTTCCATTTGCACAGCTGTACATATGCCGGAGACCAGGGACGGAGTGCGTGCCTCTCCCTGTCAACAACGGTTAGCAGACACATGTGCATCGACGGGATCCACAAACCCTCCACCAGCCCGTGGTCAGGAGTGCGAGGGGCAGCGGATGCAGGTGCCCTTGCGCAGATGGAGACCTCTCAGACTTCTGATCACCCAGAGGTCCAGCGCCTTCTCTCCTTCCTTTTTTGGTCCTTGGAAGCAGCAAGAGAAAGCCCAGGCCCTTTTTTTTTGAAATCACTTTTTGGCTGAGCTCTGTATCAAAGCCCTCAGCCAGGAGAGAAAATGTGCTGGCTTTTGGCCCTGGTCAAGATCTGCAGACTGATTTGATTAGGTAGAGAATAACCAGCCTCCATGTTAAATGCAACCCTTACCCGAGAGAGTCCCATTCTCTCAATACGGACTGCGAGCGAGGTGACCGATGAGCAACGACTCCAGACAGGATTTAACAAAGTGACAGACAAATGGTGACAAGCCCACCGTGCTATAGGAGCAGTTATGGGGAAGTGCTTGGTGGCACAAGCAACACAGAATAGCCCACGAGAAAACAGGGTGTTGGCAAAGGGGTTTTTAAAGTCTTATGTTTTAATTAGCTTTTCAGTCTTTCCTTTTTCACCCTATTACACAAATTTAAGTAGATAAATCAATCAAAAGAGGGAGATAATTGTTCTCCTACCCAGAAAGTCATTTATTAATAACTTTAAATTTAGTTCATGTCTATATTTTTATTATGAAATAATTCATACATACCAAAGACTATATGTATATATGAAAGCCTGTGAGCCCACCACCCAACTTAAGAGCTGGATTGTCATCAGTCCATGTGGCACCTGTCCTGTGCTGCTCCCCTATCGTATCCCTCTGCCTTTCAGGTTCAAATCATGAAATTAAAGACGTTAACAGGGGCCAGCCCTGTCGCGTAGCGGTTAAGTGCGTGCGCTCCCCTGCTGGCGGCCCGGGTTCGGATCCGGGCACACCGACGCACCGCTTGTTAAGCCATGCTGTGGAGGCGTCCCATATAAGGTGGAGGAAGATGGGCACAGATGTCAGCCCAGGGCCAGTCTTCCTCAGCAAAAGAAGAGGAGGATTGGCATGGATGTTAGCTCCGGGCTGATCTTCCTCACACACACAAAAAAATGTTCCCATTTTAACAGTTTGTATTGGTTTCATTTCTATTTCCTCCAAAGGAAATACAAGCATTTCTAAGTGTATCCTTTAAGACCATATGTGGAAGTTTATTTTTTTCTTTAAACATTTCATGTGTTGAAGGAAATGGCTATGGAGACCATCTTCACTGTAATACGGGGACACCGTTTACTGCTCTGAAATTCCACTAGATGGAGACATTTCATCATAAAAAATAATATCATCATCTCTCCGCCTTTTCCTTTCTCCCTCCTTCCTCCCTCTCTCTCTCTCACACACACATACCCCCACCTACTCCACACCTGGGAAATGCTCCAAAATGGTGAGGAAAAAATTAAGTGCTTGCAGCAGAGGTGTATTTTTTAATGCAAGATAACCTTTATCAAATTAGTTCTAAGTGATTTAAATTAAGAAAAAGTAAGTCTACTACCAATTTTGGGGTACATGGAAATGTCACCTGGGGCAGGAAGCCAATACATTTTCCTGCAGGTTGCGACAAACCTGGTCTTGTTCAGAGGATCTGATATTAATCAAGTAATTTCCATTTCAAATCTAGCATTAACTATCTCATTTTGGTTTCGGCACCTAAATAGTTTAGCACAGATTAGAATCCAACTATAGGCTCATTCTAAAGTCATGTATCAGGAATTCATGATTTTCTCTTAAGTGACTCCATTAATCTCACAAGGGTTTTCAGTTACTCAATAGAAAGATAAAATCCTTTTCTCTCTTACTAGGCCGCCTAGGGTCACTTTCTCCATCAAAGGAGATATTAGGTGACAAGGACACAATGTGTTACGGAGTAAACCTCACACGTTGTGCCCAGAGAGGCTGGTACAAACCCAAAACATCTACAAAAAAATCTTTTGAGCAAATGAATAAATCATTTTTTTAATATACTCGAAGCCCAATTCACCTACAAATAAATAATACACTCTTTACAAATCATTCATCTTGATTTAGGAAAACAGGATCTTTATGCTATGTTATGTTTTATTTCTTTACTTGAGTTACTGTAGGTAAATTAGCATTATTAAAGCTGCATTTCTTTACACTGTTCAGATATTTCATTAATTTAGAGTTGGTGAGATTTTCTTGAACTGTTATCTTGCTCTGATTCAAACAGATGATTTAAGCCCCGGCTCTGGTCAGGAACAGCTCCCCTTGTTCCTCTAATTTAAAGACTTATTAAAAGAGCCTGTTCCCAGTCCCCAAAGTTGCTCATAGGGCTTGTGGTCCCAGGCGCCAGGAGCCCTGATGGAGCCAGGAAGTAGCATTTGCACACAGAAGTCAGCCTTGATCTGTGGAGCTGTGGAGGGTTTTTATTATAAATTCTGGATTCTTTCTAAATTTGGTCACCACCCATCTTACTTTCAAAGAGCATATCTATAACAATTTTATCAAATGCTTGGATGGGGCTCAAATCCAAGATTTCCTCTTATCACGATGAAAAGAACTTTAAAGGAGTCACCACCCTAGGCCATGAGCAGTATTCCACTCTGTGTAAAACATAATATTTTAAAGAGTCACTGTTTCTAGGTGATATGACTAAATCACTAGTCATGAAACGTGGAAATAGGGAATAAAATCGATGACTTTAAATATTTTGCCAAATGGGTTCAAGTTTAATAACGTCCAAATAGACGACACTGAGCACTTACAAAAAACAGGTCAGTGGAGAAGCCCCCACCCCTAGGCTGGGCAGCAGTGCCGCTGGCTCTGGTACCGCACACACGCATACCACATGGTTCATGCTGCACTTTAAAACACAAAAGCCAGCCCTGTGGCCTCCCGTTTCTGCCTCTTGACAGGGAAAGCAGTGGGAGGACACACACACTGGGAGGTGTGGTAGCAGCCCCAGGGAGAGCAGAGCCCCATCCCTCCCTCTCTTTCAGTGTCTGAGAGCCAGGGGCTGGGAGAGGCTGGAGGAGGGGGAAGGAGCCACACGCCATCTGCTTCTGTATTATTTGCTTTGTTTTTCCTTCACGATTTTCTCTTCCCTGTTATTACCCTTGACTTCAGGATATCGTATTTGTTACACAAACCTTACTTTCTCCCCATAACCTTGAAAAAGGGTATTTAAATGGCACGTAGGATGAGGAATTCTACTGGCGAGAAGGAAGAATATTAAAGGGAAAAAAACCTTTGTAATATTTTCTTCTAAGAGAACAGGGTCAGAGGCTCAAAGCCCTCTGTAAACGCTAAAGGCCAGGCATGCAAAGCATGAAATATGGACTGAGATAGACTGGATCTTCGGTGAATGTTTCTCCAAAATTTCAACTGGATGCCACCGTAGATCCTATCCAGATTAACAAAGGAAGAAGGCAAGGATTTGACTTGGGCAAGAACTGGCTTTCCAAGTGCCCTACAATCTGATGTGTAGATCCACTTGTGGTGTGGAGAAAACCTCCAGAAGAAGAGCTGTGTGTGGTACTTTCTACTCCTCCTCAGTCCTAAGCTTTTAGAAGTTGGTTACAAGTTCTAACCCACCTCGGCAGAGAGGAAATAGTACACAAAATGGGAAGGGGAAACGGGGTGTATTTCAGAATTCCAAGTTAGTAGACTGACCAGAAGCATTCATCTGAGAATCAAACTAACAATAAGGAATCATAAATCAGAGAGATCAAAGCTACATTCCCTCCTCCCTGACCTCCCAGCTAACCCTCCAAACCTTCATGGAACTTGAACAGTTCAGTCCCCTCTGATGGGGCTTTCTGGGCCTTTCCAAGATAAAACCTCACACTGCACTCAGGATGCTGTCCCCACATGTCCCCCTTGGCTCTGCCACCTGCTAGCTCCGTGCACCTGGGCAAGTCCCCAACCTGAGCCTCTGGCTCCTCACAGTCAAATGATGACTGTGAGACACACCTCAGACAGGTGCTGTGAAGAATAAATGAGAACGTTTACAGCTCAGCACATGGCTGGCACACAAGGAGCCTTCAATAAATGGCAGCTGTTTACTATTTAAAAAAAATTCCTGTGGCTACAGGAGGAGGGTTCTGGTGTGGGGTGGGGGGGGAGGGGGCAGGTAATATTCTTGATCTGGGTGCTGGTTGTGCAGGAATGTTCAGTTTGTGAAAAACCAGCAAACTGTACACTTTGTAAAAATTGTGGTAAAATTGCACAACATAAAATTTACCATTTTAACCATTTTTAAGTGTACAGTTGAGCAGCATTAAGCACATTCACATTGTTGTGTGACCACCACCATGCATACTTTTGATACGTGCACTTTTCTGCATGTATTTAAATAAAGTCTTTAAAAAAAAAAACTACCCCATCCCTGTTAATGATGACAATAATAATAATTAAAGAAACTACAACCCTGTGGACACGTAGATAGTGTCTTCTAATGTCCAGAAGAGTTACCGGCTTCATATGGGAGGAATTTCGTTCTTGCTGTGAAACGTGGCATATTCTCAGTGTTTGGTCCTGAGAGTTGGGGGGATCCCAGAGAAGGGGTGGGCTTCCCAAGGAGGCAGTTTTCAGGGCCTGAGGGATGATTCCCTGTTACAATGACCACTCGTTTTCCTGAGATGCATGGTGTGAGGAGGGCTACCTCTCATCTGCCCTCACTCACGCTCTAGGGAAAGACAAGGGGCCAGGCTTCAGGTCCTTCGGCCATCAAAATCCAGTTTGCTCAGGGAACAGAAGACAGAGCAACCAGAACTGGAGGCACAGATGAACTTCCTGGTGGGCCCTCAGCCCCTAAGTGGCTTTCTTTCCCAACCACTGGGGAGCACTCACAAGGAAAACTAGAGGTGCAGGGGAGAAGGCCTCTGGGACATCATTTTCTTGCAAGCCTGGATTTTTCTCGTGGGCCCTTGTCCATGCACATTGCCTTAACCTAATAGAGGTAATATTCCAAAACAATAGAGAAATATGGCCCATATTTACTCTTCTTCACGGAGGTAGCAAATGTAGGATTTGAAAAGTGAGTGATTCTCACCCTTGAAGTTTCCCCGTTGTCTGTCTAACTGTTGTTCCTACTGACCACGTTTAAAATGCACTCATTATAGTCGCTCACGAGTGGGCGAAATCACTTCTCCTTCCATCTCACAAAGATTTCAGTCACTTGCAAATTGTCATTACGGGAAAACGCCTCCATGGGCTTCACCAATCGGAATGTTTAGCAGTTTTGAAAACAGAAGGAACTTGTTGCCAGCCCGAAGCAAGGGCTTAGCTAGTGCAGCGTGTGAAATGCGAAGAAAATCTCAAAGCAGAGAGAGGGTGAGGCAGATAGCCGAGCCTCGTGCCAGTCCTCTGAAACTGTAGTTCTGCAGAGGGCGAGGCTGGCGCTTTTATAATCTTTACCATACAACGACAGTATCCTTCAAAAAGCTCCCTGGACATACAGTGCCATAAAATACCACACTGCTCATCGACTCTTCTTTTTTCAGGTTAAATGGCTATGAATTAACGAATTTAGCAAGTGTTGTTTTAGCATTTCAGATATCTGAAAAGGCACAGACTGGTAACACGAGAATTCTTTCCCAATCTGAAAGTCATGCATGTTCTCCCTCCCTCTCCAAACTTACGAGCTGTTTAATATTTGAAATTTTTCTCCCTTGTGAAAACTCAGGTCATCTTCTGTCCGTGCTTCATAATCATAAAGGGCCACAAACAGGGTCACTCCTGACAAAACAAAATCAAAAGGGGAGAGATTAGTAGACAAGGGGAAATTAATTCCAAGAAATTAAATCTTCACTAAAACCTCATTCTCAAAATCTACATCTAATCAGCACTGATAACATGATGCAGTGTTGTAATTAATGTGTGAAAACCAGAGCTGCAGGGCTGAATTTAGGCCTTAGTCTTTGTAGGGGGAGAATTATTTGATCCGACTAAAACCTGGAGTTGAAGGACTTTTCTCTGTACACTATGGAATGAGTCTTCGGGAAGAGACAGATATTAATATCATGTCCACAACTAAAGGGCAGCAGCGGTGTCATAGTTCAGATTTGCAGAGCTCTGCAGTATCACAGACAGCCTTTATCCAACACACGTTCTCCTTCGCTCAAGAGCCCACGTTAGTTCTGGGTCAAATGAATCACTCTTTCCCCTGGTCACGTAGAATGTAATAGGAAACTCCTTCTGCAGCCTGGGGACATTCAGAGAGGCCTCTCTCTGTAAATGTTCACCCCAATTAGACGCTGTCTTGCCCTTGGCATCTGCAATTGTGTTGGGGACTCCCTCTCTATCGCTCTCCTTCTACCTAGAAGTCACCTATCCTTGCACTGACTTGTAGTACTCACTCTTCCTCACAACCGCAGGATGTCTTCTCATCTGGCTGACTCCCCACAGAGGCCCTTCCTGCTTTGCAGAAGTTTGCTATCAACAGCAAAGAATATCCAGCCGTCCCATTTGGCCTAGGACTTCCTCCATATAGCAGGCTGAATTCTAAGATAGCCCTCAATGATTCCCACTTCCTGTTATTCACGCTTTTGTGCCATCCCCTTCCCTTGAGTGTGGGACAAACCTAATGACTTGCTTCTAGCCAACAGAACATGCAAAGGTGATGGGATATCCCCAAGTGACTAGGCTTCAAAAGATTGTGACTTCTGTCTTCCTAGCAGACTTTCTCTATTGCCACTTTGGCTTGGACACTTTGATGAAGCCAGCTGCCATGTTGGAGAGGCCCACCTGACAAAGAACTGAGGGTGGTCTGGCCAACAGCCAATGAGGAACTGAGTCCTGCCACATGAGCTTGGCAGCAGATCCATCTCAGTTGAGCTGTGAGATGACTAGAGCTTAGCCAACACATCTTGATTGCAACCTGTGAGAGGTTCTGTCATAGGGAACCCAGCTAATCATTCCTGGATTCCTGGCCCACAGAAACTGTGAGATAACAAATGCGTATTGTTTTCAAGCTGCTAGGTTTTGTGGTAATTTCTTATACAGCAATTGATAACTAATACGTTCCATTTCTCTGCTCTCTGGCTTTTCTTTTTGATCTCCACACACTTCAAAGTGCCTAATGTGGCCTAAAGAATGCACAACATGGATGCTACTCTTTACCAAGCTGCTACTTTGCTGTGTCGGTAGTTCCAGGGGAACGGATGTGCCCATGGGACTCTTCAAGAATCAGACAGGGAGATGAGCTTGTCTTTCCACCCACCCCAAGTGGGGCCTCCTGTAGGAGAGCTGGCATTCAGAAGGTCTGACCATGCAAAGCAGGGATCATTTGGCAACTGTCCTCCTTTCTTTAGATTTCTTTGAAAAGTTAGAAAAGGACTGGCTTAAAAAAAAAAGTGGGAGCCTGTAAGGTCATGCTGATTTTCATTTAACACTCTATTAACAGATTCCCTTCGTTACATAATTTAAAAACAAACCCAACCTCCATTGTGTGGAAGACAAGGCACATGAGGACGGACACTTCTGTTCTCCTACTGCCTCCTTGCATCAGCTGGCAAGTTCTCACTGGGTGTTTTTATCGTCTAGGGACGGAGGGGAGAGTCAAAGGAGGTCACAGGGACACACAGACACTGATCCTGGCCTTAAAGCACTAAAAGCAGCGGTGGGGAAAAAGACATACCTATGTAATAAAGCCAAATAATACAAGGCAGGAAAATCTGCCAACATTTGGAGGTACTGGGTTTTAACCTAAGGGACCACATGGCCTCATACTAAGATTGTCCCTGACTACAGTACAGACCCACATGTTCAAGGCAAGGAGCCCACTCTAGTGACTTTATGAATGATACCTGCAGACACAGGGATTCATATCCAGCATTCAACAATGAATGAACAAGGTTCATGTCTGTGTCAGCACAATTCAGAGTCTGGCTGCCACAGCACTCAGCAGGCACAAGGAGTGTGTGCTGGGTGCCTTTTTGGCTCTTTTTTTTCCCTCCTGCATCCTCAAGAGACAGACTTCCCTAGACTGCCTGACTGCCTCTTTCCTTCCTCCCTTCATTCCAGGTGTCTTCCAGAAAGGCAGAAAGAATAAGTAAGTGTGCCGAGCATTCATTCGCCCATGCAAGACCTGCTTTAAAGGGAAAGCCAGATCCACCATAACACAAGGACATAATGTAAAGCTCTGGGGCAGGTCCCTTGATATAACTACACTGGCTGCTGCATGCAGAGGGAAGAAAATCCCTCAACACCTCAGTAGTGCCAACTCCCTCAGTGAAAAGGCACAATGGGTCCCTATACAAGACATATGCTCCCAGATGAGCTGCGAACATCATGGCTGATGTATATTTCTTTAAATGTTTGTAATAAAAAAATTTTGGAACAGATAATGTCATATATCTAGTTACCATGATTCACATACTGGAAGAAGATTTGGAAGACTAAGGATGCATGAGATAACTTACAAATATTGCAGAAAACATATGTCTGAGAATGCATGCCAGATATTTTACAAAATATTAGCTAAGTCAGCAAATGCACATGGCAGTAAAACACAGCCTTGTGGTGGGAAAGAGAAGGAAACTTAAAAAAAGAGAGAGAGAACGATCCCTTAAGGATACATAAGATTTGATTTTAAAATACGAAAGATACAGGAAAATACTTTGGGGGCTGATAAACTTAGTCATATGGAAGATGATGGAAGATCAGAAAGAGAATCAATGGAGACAAATGGCCAAAAAACAAGGCTGCCAAATGACCCCACTGGCTGGGAAGTGACAGGCAGGCCGAAGATAAGGCAGATGAGGGAGAAGGTTCTACTCCTGTGAAGTGGCTCTTAACCAGGGGATGGGAGGAAAGAGTGAATTAATACCTGGAGAACTCAAAATATACAGAACTCAAAATGTACAGAGAGTCTTAGGCCTCTCTCTATATTTTGAAAAAGCTTCCCTAGTTATTCAGAGTCAGCCAGCCAAAGTTGAGAACCATCAGCCTAAACCACCTCGGTAGAAGTTGCATCTCATGACCCACATAGAATTCTCACAGAGCGGCCACTTGGGGCTACCCCATGCCACTGCAGCCAGCACTCTGATTTGTACATCAAGTTCTGGCTTTTTTACAGCTCCCCATCTGCTGGAGGATAGGTAGAGATCGATGAAAAACTTACACGTTAAATCCTTAGTCAAAGGGAGCTGACCGGAGCACAACTGTTCCACTGCCAAAAGAATTACCAGCAGCTTAATTCTTACCTGTTCCTCCTCTCGTCCGCAACGTCCCAGTATGAGACGAAGAGTTCACACCCCCAAAGACGGTGAGTCCTTGGCCCCCAGCTGCGTGGAAGTTGTTGTAGTTTGGGATGGAGGTCACGCCGAAGCTGGGGTAGTGCTGAGGAGTGGGGTCTGTGCCATAGCGGTACCCGGAGCTCTGGTTCAGGCTGCCGTCCCTCTCCTCTGTCAGTTTTGTTGCTTCTTTATCCTTACATTGCACACAGCCCATTATCTAAATTCCTGCCGAAAACAAAAAGGAGGCACATGAACTTGGATGCTTCTTAGTTGCTGGGTTGCCTGACTATTAAAGGTTCACCCTTGGACATTTCAGGTCTATGACGGGCACGAGGAAAAGCAGTGGCTAGGGGTGATGCTTAGAAGCAATCTCTGTGCCCTTAACTTGACAATCACATTTGATCCCCACATGCTCTGGGCGATGGGATCAACACAGAGAACGAGGTTCACTACGTGGTAGTTTTCCTCAAATGCGGTCTGCACCCCTTAAAATTCCATAACGTCACACACGTGCTGAAAGACAGCCCAATAATACTTCTTACACTTTTCTTTAGTCATCTCAAAAAATCATGTATTCTCCAGAAAATGAGTCTATGCACTATTGGAATAAAAATCTTCATCCAGGCAAAGAAAATCTAAAGAGGGTGGAGGAGAGCTGGAAAAGCCAGAATAGAGCCCCAGAACAACCACCGTACTTCTTCACTCACGGGTACCATCCTTCAGGCACACATTTGGTAAATTTTAAGCAATAAGTTGATGATAAGCATCAAAATGAAGAAATGCTTGCTGGATGAAAAACAAAATTGGCAGAAACTAAGAGGTCTGAGCATATTTGTAGGATGTCAGGATAGCCTACAATAACAAAACCATTTAAAGCTGCTAATTAACTTTTCAAATTTCCATTAGCTTTTGACATCTTTCAAAAACATTTAAAAAAATCATTCCCATGTTCCAGAGTAAGTGGTGGTTTAAAAACTCGCGTCGTTGTCACCCTGCACTCCTCTGAACCTACTTCTCCTGCTCCTCATCTCAGTAAATGGTGCCACCAATGACCCACTTGCTCAAGTCAGAATCCTGACAAGTATCCTTATTTGCTTCTCCTTGTTGACTTCTCACACTCTACTGTTCGGCCAAACATGCCGAACTTCTCAGTGCCTCAAAGGTTCCATTTTTTCTGCTCTCCTTCAGGCCTTGGAACATGGCCTTGAACACTCTTTCCCCCTCCTCTTTGATATACAACATATCCTTCAGGTCCCAGTTAAGACACCACTTCCTCTACAAAGCCTACTCTGCTTCTCTGGCCCTCCCCTAGGCTGGGGTAGTGCTCTTCCTAAGTGCTCCCATGGCAGCTTGACTTCCCTCATGATGGAGCCTATTGTACCATATTGAAATGTGGCCTATCCACTTGTCTCATTGCCCAATGGACTGTGCGTTCCAGGAAAGCAGGGCCTTGTCCATTTTTGTCATAGCTATATTGCCAGTGCCTGGCACATGGTAGGTGCTCTACAGAAAGCAAATGAAAGAGTGAAGGTTGTTTAGCTCACTATGTTTCTCTTTCACTCTTTCTTTCTCTCTGCATCAAGACCAACCCTTCTTCAGTGCCTCTTATCAGCAGCTTGTCCTGCATTTTTGAATGTACTGGTTTGGGTGAGAAGTGATGATGATTCAGAAATACAAGTTAAGTCTGTTAAAGGACCCCACTTTGGACTGCAATACTCTGTCAAGCTGATAGGGGGTAGGTAGAACATGCAATGGCTGTCCTGCCAAAACTCTGAAAAGTGGCCCATTTGGGACCAAAGAACCAAATAAGAAACACATGACATCATGTGTAATTACATGTATTCACTGGGGAGGGCACAGGTGGTACAGAATGGAAAGGGACGAGGTGGTGAAGGAGAATCAGAGAGCTAGTTTTTCTACAGCATCTTGCAAACCAAAGTGGGGAGTGCCACGTCAGATATGGAGACCTTTGGGGGGCACAGTTCTGAGCAATGCTTTTCTGCTGGACGGGGTCTTGGAAGCAACGTTAGACTGTTCTAAAGCCCTCTCACATTACATGTTTTAATAAATACTTATTGAATTGAATGTCAGTTCCTGAGAATGGAAATGTTTGGAAATGAGCCACCTACTGCTTGAGCTGAGATCACTAAATCTGGAACACATTTGTGCATAAATCATTCGAGATTAACTTACAGTATACTGTGTCCAACATACTCTCGAACTTACGGTAAATGAATACAATTTTAACAAGTTTTCAACAGGAAATGCAAAATATCTCCAAGGCATGATTTACTGAAGGAATTTCATCATTTGTTGTCGGTGTTGCTTCATAAGACTGATAAATATCTTGTGCACTTTATGTTAACTCTTTCATGGTGGAAAGTTGTTCCAAGCTTCTACAAAGGCCAGACAGAAGACACTTTTTGTCCCAGGTGCTTTTTTCAGGGATTTCACTGATCTACTGTAATTAGAGGATGTGAGATGTGAATCTCAGGATCACATCACTTACACCGGTGGTTCTCTGCTGGGGTGAATGTGGTCCCCCCCACCAAGGGACATATTAGGCAATGTCTGGAGACATTTTTGATTGTCACAACTCAGGGGTAAGGGGTACTACTTGTACCTAGTGGGTAGAGGCTAAGGAGGCTGCTAAACATCTTATAATGAACAGGACAGCCTCCAACAACTAAGAATTACCTGGACCCAAATGTTAATAATGTCAAGATTCAGAAATTCTGATTTATGGAGAGCAAAGAATTTATATCTATATCTTTGAAATAGTATAACAGCTGTTTCTTATAGGCATGTGATCAACATGCAATGCAGAATGCCTGCCTTAGGAGAATAGGCATGCGAGGTAGAAAGAGGCAATTTAAAAAATTGACATGAAATGTTCTGATTTTTCTCTAGAAGCTTATTCCTTGTGATAGAGAAAAGAATCTAAAACCAATGAGATGGGCCGGCCCTGTGGCTTGGTGGTTAAGTGCGCGCGCTGCGATGCTGGTGGCCCGGGTTTGGATCCCGGGTGCGCATCGAGGCACCACTTCTCCGTTCATCCTGAGGCCGAGTCCCGCATACAGCAACTAGAAGGATGTGCAGCTACAACATACAACTATCCACTGGGGCTTTGGGGGGAAAAAATAAAATAAATAAAATTAAAAAAAAAATAAAATAAAATAAAACCAATGAGAACTCTTATTACAAACTACTCTTCCAACTCCAACAAAACCAAACCAAATCCTACATCAGGTCTGCTGAAAGTAGGACCCTATATCTAACCAAACTAAGAAAAAGACAACCTTTCAAAATCCACTAAAAAAAGTGTTACCACTGTAATAAATGACTAATAGATTATAGTATACAATTCTATGAAACAATGGAAGGAAAGAAATTGTAAGCTCCTTGAAGTCAGGGATTATTTTTTGGTTTTTGTTTCATTATTGCATCCCCAGTTTTCAGAACAGTGCCTGGCACACGGTAGGAGCTCAATAAATATTTGTTAAATGATTAAATGCAAAAAACCAAAACTCAATCAAAATCAGTTTGGAGAAAACAATTCTCTTTTATAAAAGGGACAGCTTTGTTACCACTTGATGCATTTGCAATTTGAGTAAGGAATGTTTCTGCACAGATCTTGCTTACTCTCTTCCCTTCATTGATAGACATGAAAAAACCAAAATAAATCAGTAAATGCAGGCTCAAGTCATTAAAAGTTAATCACAATGAAAATATTTGTGTAAGAGCTTGTAGTCGTCTTCTTCCCACTTGGGGCGGTCAGACTAACCATTTCCCTACGGAAGAGTCAGAAGATGCTAAATGAGTTGTACTCAATGTGACTTCAGGCTCCTTGCCATAAGGCAAACTTCTGAGCATTTGAGTTAAAATAAAAACCTTTATTACGGACAGTTCTGTGGTATGGCTTTCATGGCCAAAGCTGTAGGTCCATCATGAACACAGAATGCACTAATATACTTGCTCAAGATCTGTGGGGCTTTAGGAAACACTGAATAATGCTGTTCCGGAAGTGAGGCCCTGGAGTTACTGATCAGTGAATCATACACCATGAACTCATGACCATCGTTCTCTGTGCGTTGCTACGCATAGAAAAACTGATGGACAAGTACTTTGACCAATAGGATCCTGTGCCTGTGGTCAAAGTGTTTGGATTATAGCTGTGAAGCCCCCTATTCTCCAATTCTTCTGCAAACTGAGGGGTTCTGTTTCTACTATGCAAGTAAAAGCTGATTTACTTAAAATGTCCTTAGTCCTGTGGATCTTCTCATTTGTGCCAAGAGCATTAACCAACTCTAGGAAAAGAGTTGCCAAAGAAAGACTCCAAGGATTGCCACACCTTGCTACCATGAGCATGGCAGACAACTGCATGTCGCCAACTGACCACAGCACTTTCTGGTGCTATGCCATGTGCAGCCTCAGAATCCTTCTTCAAATAGCCCTCGAGTGATTGACTGATGTTGACACAAAGGACGGAATCTATCTGCTACTTGGGCACAGGCTGCTCTGATCCAGAAGGAATTTGGATGAATGTATATTCCTCCACTGAGGCCACAGACCACGGTCTGGTCTGCTAGATGCACATTAACACAGATACACTTACATTTCCTCATATGCCAATCAATGAAGCAACACCTGTATGCTCAGGTTATAACGTCACAGGACCTCTGAGAAGATTTCAGGTGTGTGCAAGAGCTGGGTACCAAAAAGAGAAAAAGGTTACTGGCAGTCTTCTGCAAAAGCAAATTACTTTTTCTTGAGACACATAAACTTGCAGGCAGAGGAGGGATGGCAGCAGGAGGAAGGCGAAACCGACAACAAATAACTTTAATTTTAGTCGTGTAAGAAGCACTTTTGTCTCAGAAACCAACCTAGGTGGGTGTGGGGAAGTGAGAGCCCTTGGGCTCAAGTCGCCATCCTTGCTCCTGACAGCCCAGACTTTGGCAAGTGACAGGTAAAGCCATGTTGGCCTGTACTCTGATGTAGCATGTTTCCTTGGTGTGATCATTCACTATCCCTTTAGCTGGTCTCCACTTTACTGGGCAGGTATCACAATAAAAGTGAAAGAACAAGGAAGGAAACCTAGAAACCAACATAAGTAACTGAGATGGGGACAGTGGAAAGAGAATTTAAAGCTGAATTGTAGACTGACTGCACAGTTTCATACACTTGTCTGGGAGAAAAGCAAAAAGTGATAGCTTAATGAGCAAACC